GGAAAACAATTAAAGCAGAGCTAGCATAGATGTACAAGAAAACTGGTGTGCCCAACTACATTTTATATTTACTTTCTTTAAATGCTTAGATCTAGACATAGTTATATAAACAATTACAAGTTTCATCTGAATGCGCATATACGGAAACATGCTCCTAGAGTCCTCCTGGGATGCTATTTCGGTTTTAGAAACTGTTCCAGGAGCAGGTGTCAGACTTTTAAGCACCTTCCTTCTAGACTACCCCCCCACCCTTGATGTTTCTGATTTCTTCAAGGATAATCTGGAAGAGAGGGAAATTCACATTTTCTGGAGCAACCTGTTTCCTGTAAGAAAAATCTGAAGAAAGAACAGTTGTCTTTCTTGGCAGTTACAGCAGAAACGTGTGAAGACAAACGAATTCCAGGATGATTTTAATGTGAGGGTCCCAGGTCTGGACAATGATAAAGGAAGTGATGTTTGATAGATCTGTTCTATGAAGATAGGTCTCATACAATAGTATCCTTAATTATGTTTGCAGTCCACACTGTTTTAGTGTCATCCATGTGTTTATGCCCCAAATTTCTGGCAGAAAAACAGGCTTCCAGGCTTCAGAAATGTGTTTTATTTTCTTGTGGTCTGTCAGAAAAGCCACTGGGATTCCTAAATGACAACTGGACTTGCCTGCAGCTAGCAGAAGGCCTCGCTCTTTCTGGAGTGATAGATGTTTCAAAGAGAGAAGGAATAAAAGCGGCTCCCTGGAGTATCTGCAACTCCTTTGTCATCTGCTGTGACTTGTTCCAGGAAGTCCTTGGGAATTTTATCCTGAGCCAGAGAATTTTGGATCTGAAGCTGTTCCTCCTTTAGATATTGAGAGCAAGCTTGGCGCATTATTTGCAGCTTATATAATGACAAAACTGTTGGTTTGTCACCATAAATATGTTTCTGTTTATTTAAGTTAAAGAACGGATGTTCCTTCCACTTCATGAAAACATGTCATTGACTGCAGGCAGTTTAAAATGGTCTCAGGAGCTACGAGAGGCTTCTCAGGTGCAGACCACATTTTAAGCACATCAATCACCTGTAAGTATTGCTGTAAAACATTGTACAATGGGGCTTAAAACACTTCAGGCACTTTCTGAAGTTGCAGCCTTGCTGTGTACTTAGAAATGACATTGAGGTGAAATCTCTTCTGTCTCTGTAGGGTTTTGCACATAGAGGAAACTGTTTTGCAAAAATGTTGGAGAGCATTGGAATGGCTGGGTAGGTAAAACGAAGAGATACCCCTCTCACAGACATGAGATTGAAACCTTCTCTGTGCCTTAACCTTTAGTCTAATCATTCTTTGCAATTTGTGTAATGTAATTTTTGATCAGAAAGTAAAACAGTCATAAATCTTACTGTACTGTGATAAAGCATTTCTTTTAATTGTCTTAGCAAATATCTTGTTTTGTGGTAAAAATTCACCTTTGCTTTAGAGATAATAGGTTCAAATCATGTATCAGATTTCATAAGTTTTTACCTATAGGATAAAAAAAAAAAGTGTAAAATGACCGTGCATGTGTATGACAACATTGCTTCCTTGAGAAGCATTAGTGGTTTGAAATAAGAGAAATACCATTCAGTTTTTCATTAATAATAAGAATACTAATATTACGTATGTGTCCAAATGAAATGTCTGGAACTGAAGAATGATGATGGCAGAGACCTCTAGCTTTTGGTTTCAGGAGGCTGACAAAAATTCTGCCTCAGCAAATTCTATAGGATTTATTCATGAAGCAGTAATTTGAGCAAGCCTTTTAGTTAATGTCTGATTTCCTCCTCCTTATAACAATATCCTCCTTTTGTGATTTTGCAGCTTGCTGCTGTTTCTCCAAGAGGTGAAATATCTTGAGATTTTAAAGCATCCTGCTGACACTGGCATTTGCAATGCTCTATTCTGAGAGAGATTTTACAAGGTAAATAAGTAAGATCCTATTTGAAAGGTGTGTATGAATGTAAAGGCGTAGTAGAAAACTGACATAACTGTAATAATCTCTTCAAATCTCCAAATACAACTAACCCAGAATCAAGCAGTATTCAAGTATTCTTTGAGTTTCCTGTCTATTGGGTGGTTTTTACTACTGTACTCTCTAGTTAATCATACGTTCTAGTCTTATTGACTGTGTTTATATATAATGTGTGTGTGTGTGTGCGCGCGCGCGCGCTTTCCTGTGAATACAAATGAGTGACTCCTAATGCATTACCTTGTAAATTCACAGACAGAACTAATTCTGCCAATGAAGAAATGTGTAATCTTAAGCCTGTGTGGTGTATGAGACCAGTAACGGATGATAAAACATCTCCTCCTACTAGTTTAAACAAAAGGCTTTTCAGGAATTGGAATAAAATCCATTGGTGTTTTTAGGCCAGTTGTCAGAGATGTATGATGATAAAACTAGGACCGTTCCTGTAGTGAGTACTGGCTAGGAGTGTTGCAAATTTAATTAAAGTAGAATGCGTGAAGTGGCAAATTTTAACCAAAAAAAAAAAAAAGGCAATGACTGCTTCTAACTTGGTTCTAACTTGACAGAGTAAAGATCTCTGGATTGTAATGAGCAGATAGAGGAACTTGTTTAAAATGTGGAAGATGAGAGAATCTGAAAATACAAACATGATGTGAATTTGGCTGTTGCTTAGACAGATTTACACCCCTGGTTTTGTCAAGAAAAAAAGGCAAAAAATAACTTCTGTCCTTTGATGACATAAAAAGAAATGCTCTAACTATGGAGTGTAAATAGCAAAAAAATTAGAAAAGGTCCACCAGATAGTCTAGGTCCAGTGAATGTTTTATACTGTGAATAGTATATATTGTCAATAAATACTTAGGAAAACTTCGGATGTAAATGCTTAGGAAAACCAGAATTAAGCGGGAACTAAAAATGTTTTCAAATATTTGTACTTGCTGATGCAAATCTAGCTCCAAAGGGAAATAGTTTTCAGTAATTAGTTCCAGACGTACTTGTAAAAGTTACAATGAAAAGGTAATTATGTTGTAAATAGTGGGAATGCTTTTCTTCATCGAAGTGAGAGTTCCTTTATTTGTGGATTGATCAGTTAACTGGGATAAGAAATCCACACAAGGAAGAGCAATTCTAAATCCCTGTTACTGATTCTCTAAATTACTCTTTCCAGGACAATCAGCATTTGCTTCAGGCAGATCCTCTTTCTGATGAATGGAAATCCTACCCTGAATGCATAGACCCCATGATTGCAGATGGGTTGTTCAAGCTATCAAGTGTTCTCTTCAGCATCTGATTGAAAACACTGAGACAATATTTAAATCTATTGCTTTATTTGAAGTGCAGCTTGTTCTTAATGACTCTGAAACAACTTTTAAACTTCCCTGGACTTAATTTCAATGGCAATTTCTGCAATATTATGGAGGAATTAATCAAACACATCTTCAAAAATGCATCAACTGTAAACAGAGTTGTGTGATACTTTGGAAAAGTCCCTTTTCAGGTATTGTTAATTTTCCTTATTTTTTTTTTATTAAGTATAACAATTCATCTGTCCTCTAGACTTTGACAGTAGTTGCTTTCCCACCCAAGTCACCCGTTCCGGTGGTTCATACCAGGAAGGCCGATATCTCAAGGGAAGCCGTGAGGGTTATTCCCATCTGCTCACTCGGGCTCCTTCTTACCCTCTGCCTTATATTCTTATATTCCAAATGTAATTTTTGTGGATTTTGATTTTTATATTTACTATGTCCTATATATATATATATATATGTATATACTATATACATATGTACAAACATGCATATTCACATGCATATAAATCTACATATACAATACATGTGGCTTATGCTGCCTCGGATATGACCTTGGGACTGCCAAACTTCTTCAGGCTTAAGTTTCTTCCAGAACAGTGATACGCATCAAGCTCACAAAATTGTTGATTTTTTAAGGTGCTAATATTATTCTAGAAATAATTATTTCTTGATTTATCAATGTGGAGTAGAATTTTAATTCATATTAATTAATATTGAGGGTTTCTAGCATTTCTGTCTCATCTTTGGTATACATTTATATCTAAAGTGCACTTCAAAATGATGTTTATCACCATGCTGGAAAGCTCGAGTAGGAGAGTTTAGAGCATGAGAGCTCTTTGATTTGAGAAGCAGTCCTGGCCTGTTCTAAAAGGTGGATGTGGATCATGGTGTTCTCCCTATGCCCTTCAATGGCCACCTGAACTCTTTCCAAACCCCAAACATCTCCTCCTCCTCTCATCCCGCAGTTCTGAGCTCGAATGAGAACATGGCCTGAACCAGCTGCCGTAGATAAGCCAGAGAAAGGAAGAGAGAGCCAAGTGTAGACAACACTGTGGTATTTAAGAGCATCTTGTTATACGTGTGAAATGCAATTCTTGTTTTGCTTTAAAACCAAAAAAAAAGGCCACTAACCAAACCTTGACACAATGCTTGACAATCTGTCACTTTCCCAATAAATTCACGAGACATGGGGCAATCCACTGCTGCATTTTTATTTATTTATTTTTGTGAAAGGTCTTGGCAAGTTGGTTCACTGTCCTGTGGTTCAAAAATTTTTGAAGCACTGATATTTCTGATTAAATGAAATTTTGTTTCCCAAGTGATCCTAGCTAAGGCTATTTACAGGGTACATTTGATTTTAGTTTTAATTTTTAGCTACTATAAAGGTAGCCTCTGCTACCTTTTTTTAGCTACTATAAAGTACTGCCTCTGTCACTGAAATGACAAGGTTTATTTGTGCGTAATTTGTGTGTCAAATTGTGACCCTGTAAAAATCTATTTGAATAGTCTAAATCTTTCCAGGATCAGGGTATTCCTTGTTTGTGAAGGTAGGCTGGGTAATTAGTAGCTTAATTACTTCACTTGTGTGCATATTGTTAGGGCTCCGAGTGCACTGATAGGCCCGGGGATGGCTTGATGAGCTTCAGCTGGGGCTTCCTCCCCACCCCTTGGCCCAGGGCTGCATTTAAGCCCAGCCTTGGGCAGCCATCTGCCTGGTTGCTTCTCCTTCTTCTTTTCTTTTCTCTGACCCTCTGGCTCCTGACTGCACTTCCAGGAGAGACTCCGGACCAGGTTCATCGCTTGCCCTTCCTTGGGCTGTAACCGGCTCTGGATTGTGCCCTTATGGGTGAGATCTGCCCTGTGCTGAGGACATCCTCTGCTCCTGGCCCCTGTTCCCTGGGGAGCAGCCAGACTTTGCACTGTGCTCACAGGAGCTGAGAAGCTCTCTGTTGGTAAATGAAAAATATCTTTTCAAAAATGTATCTAGTGCTTTTTAACATATCTTTAATTAGGAAAGTGTTGACAGACTAAAGCAGTAGAAATGATGCCATTGTGAAGTTTGATATAATTGGTATGTAAAACACCAGTCTTCTAGAAATCAGTGTTACTTCCAGCCTGATTTCCTTGTTGTATACCCTAAATGACTAAAGGTGCTTCTATATTGGTTTTTATACCGTGTTTTGCAGGAAATGTAGAAACTTGTATTGCACATGGAAATGAGAGACCTTTTCAAATTGTTGCTTTACTTTTCAATTCTGATCTTCTGTGCCTCTTAGTGCTGCTGAAAAATATACTTCTACTGTGGAAATATCCCTTTTAAAGTACAGTTTATAGATGGATACTTTATTGTGTCCTTATTTATGAATGCATTGTCAAAGAATTGCTTGGGTTGATTAAGCTTCTAGACAAATATGTCAAATCTTGCTTCAAATAGCAATCAGGTACACTCTTTCTGAGCAATACAGCTTGCAGGGAGGTAGTAAAGTTCATCTTTACAGATAGTAAAGCCTGGTATGCATCTTGGAAAAGAACAACAAGACTAGCTTTGTGTAGTTGTCTTTAATTGCATAGTCTAATTATGCATGCTGTAATCTAGTTTTTTACCTATATTCAACTGTACTTGCTGCTGTCTTTGGGAGGTAACAGGTATTTCCTGTAGAGCAGATGAGTGTTTAGGTTGTTTAAACATCATCTAAAGAACCACCTTTTCTTGGACAGGACTGGGGCCTTTCTAAATGCTAAGTGAGGTTCTAAAAGCACTTAGTGGCCTTCCCAAGTAACCGATGGATTTGGCTGGCAGCATGTGTGTGTTTATACTTTTTGGGGAGTCAAATTAAGAGTGTATCCATCAGAGTGATTCTCAGTGAGTTGCATCACTGGGATGTTTTTTACATTGCTGAGGTTTCTTTCCAAAGTCAATATACATAAACGTGCTGTAACTAGAATGTACAGGATATTGCAAACAAACTTCAATCTTTTGCATAAATTACCTTTTGCAAATTACCATGAGTAATGAATCTGTGTTTGTCACTCTATAGAGATGTGGAAAATGAATGGCATGAAGCCAAATATTTTATTTTAAGATAAAAGGATGGGGAGTGGGGAAATAAAGTGCATGTGTATGTTTGTTTCTGTGCTGGGAGGGCTTTTGGCTCTGCAAACTGACAAACAATATCTGCTTGTAACGTTGTCAGGAATTACCTGAGAAGTGGAAGGATCTTCAAAAGATTGCCTTCGCTGTAAAGCGTGAAGTGGCGCCTCCGCAGCCCAATGGAGTGTCTGTTATCAGAAGCAAACGTGTACTTTTGGAGGTGAGATCAGTTCTGTGCTCTGAACCGGATGATTTTTCGTTTTTTGTTCTGATAACAAGCTGGTGGCAAGCTTCACTGAACTGAGAAATTGTAAACCCTTAGAAAAGGCTGTCTAAAGATAACAATTCAATGTTTCTCAGTAATGTATTCTGGATGAATCTGATAATTTAAAGCCCACTCCACCAAAATGGGAGTGATGCTTGTGTCCTCTTTATCTTCAATTATGTCTAATCTGTTTCTAATTCAAACATGGTGCTCCTGTTGTCAGATCAAATATAGATTTTAAATGTTTTATGCTTCTCCACTGGGAATGTTTTAAATATATGCAGGCTGTCTGTCAGGTCTGTACAGACTGAATGTAATAAAGTTTTAGGTAAATTTAAAGGAAATAAAAGAGTACTTAAAAATGAAATGATTCATGATTCATGAGATGGAACATATTTAATGAATGGCAGCTAAGGAAAAGTTACGGTATAGTCTCCATGGGTTACCTACTTAACCTCTAAGGAGTCCTACTTCAATATATTGTATCTTCCAGCATAGATTTAGAAAAAGGTTTTGAAATGACGTCATCTTTAGGGATAGCATCCAGTATATGGACAGGTCTGAAGATTTCTATAGCTAAGGTAAAAATATCATATTAATGCATGAAACAATGGCTATATCTACTATTGCCAGTAGTTTGGAATACTAATCACAGATTATAGCCAGAATATAACCTGCATCAGTGTTGTTTATCAAGGTTTTTCGAACTCTTTGGCACTCTACTATATGAGAATGGAACGTGTAATAGGAACTCCTTGCCATGTTTGAAATAGTTTGAAATTTTTGAATCATCTGAATATATTAATTTTTAATGTCCCTTTGCATGACCTCTGTCTTTAGGAATGCTCAAGAATTTCATCTTAGCAGCAATTGATGAATTTGTTTGTGCTTCCTTCTCTGCTATGATCAAGAGATTTTTTTCAGAATGATAGTCTTGATTGTAAAATATTTGAACGGCAGACTGATCATGAACTTTAGACTCGAGTTCAGTGGTTTTTTTTTTTTTTTTTTTTTTTTTGGTCAGTGTTTTCCTGGTGCCTTGTGATTTGTCAATTGGAGGGTTGTAGGGCCCCTTGACTACTAAATAGACCAACAAGTTGGAGGAGGAGATGTAAGACTTTTAAATTTTATTTTAATTAAGGCTAAAGTAGCTACCTTTTTTTGGTTCAGACTTCCAGAGAACTGTACCTTCCTTTACTGTGTTGCTGACTGTAAATCAAGACTGGTATCTGCCTCAGGTGCACTCTATAAGAAGTTTTCAAGGGCTGTTTCTCTTATAGCCAAAATGATTGAAGAACAGACAGAGTGAAACTAAGAAAAACAGATAATAGGTAAACAAATCAATATATTGATTCTTCTCTAACAATGTTATTGCTGTCAAATCCTTTTTTAATATTTTTTCCCATGACCTTTAAGAACACTGGAGTTCTAGACTTCAGTAGTAAATGTTCTAAGAAACTGGAAGATAACTGTTGCTTTCTTTCACTTCTTGCCTTGCACCCATGTGTGCATGTATATTCATGTGTATTCATGTCACATGAATATTTATTTGTATCAAATGGATGTATGTTTTTCCTGATAAAGATAAGCCCTCGATATGTACTATGTAAGTACATAGATTTTGACCAAACTTATTACTGTTTAAATGGTAGATTCTACCTGCTTTAAACTTTTCTGTATCCCTTTGTACCCATAAAGACTTTATGCATTTGAGTGAGTAATTAGCATCTGATCATGACCAAAAATATCTGGCAACAAGAGCTGCTTTACATTGCTGTGTATAGATAAACTTTTGCAGTCTAACACAGATGCTTTAGTACGCCAGGCACAAGAAATTAGATCCTGTGTGTGCACTTGGAGGACAACTGTGTGATATTCTATTTCTAATAAAACAGCATAAAATGATGCTTATGGCTACACCTCTCAGTTTTCGTACTGCCTTATATGTCTAAGTCCTTGTCAAATAAGCAAAAAAATTTTTTTGTGCTTCACTGGAGAAGAGTTTGACTGGTTTGGTCAGCAGTGATCTAATTCACTGCATTTTTAAGCATCAAAGTGGGTACTAATCACTAGGATGCTGCTCTTTTTTTCTCATTTAGTAAAGAGGATGGGCTTATCTGGTTTTGAAGCTGGACATGTGTCAGTGCTAGGCATGCAAACACCTGCTGTTTCCTGGGAAGAAAAGCAAACCCACTTGCCTGCAGTGCTTGCAGTGTGCCACTTGCAATGTGTGGAGCGTAAAGACTGACTACAATGAGAAGCAAACAAACATTTCCTCGGAAGAGGAATAGCTTTTTCCATTAGTCTAATGTATTTTTCTCCCAAATACCTTGTCCAATACAAGCAGCTCCTAAAAATTCACTTCTGTGGGCTTATTTATAGCAATTAACCTCTTATTAAACAAGTGAGTGGAAATGTTCCTGGAACTCTATGGCATGATTTTGCCTAAACTAGGTTGCTAGGCGCTCATACTACTGTAGTTCAATCCTGTTGTGTTCTGATCCCCTAAGGTATTTGCAACGTGTTTGTCACTCCTGTAATAGGACAAGCAGCTCTTCAGGACAGAAGGCATCTACTGTGTCTTGCTTTCAAGTCAGTATGCAGGCTACATGATTTTAGAAAGAGACTGTTTGTGTATATGTACATGTTCCTTCCCTTGTTTTTAATGGTATGGTTGGCTACTCTGGCGATTCATTGTGAAGAGCAGGCAGTGAGCAGCCTCTCATTTACTTGCAGAGGAAAAATTACATGATCCTTAAATTGTGTGGACCTAGTGTTCACAGTCACCCATCAGCTTTATGCATTACTGACCTCCACAGGCATTTTAAGGGAAGGCACAGCAGGAAAAGAAAAGGTCAGTACAGAAAGCTTTATTCCTTTTGCAAATGAGTCATGTATGTTTGAATATGGGCTTATGCCATTTTTAAATACAGAGCTTGGCTGCTCTTCCGGGGAAAATTAGCTGCCCATCAGAACGTGATCCTTATTTCAGAAGCAGTGTTAAAAAGTGCTGTCAAGTTCCATTTGGTCCATGCACCACTTAATTCCAACTGGATTTTGGGATAACAATTCCATTACATAGATTGGGAGAGTTCACTTGTTTAGTTGTTTCACTATTACACATATGGCACACTCAGGGTCTAGTCCGTTTTCTTCTTGAAATACTCCCATACCTCTGTGGTGTTTCCTGATCTTGTGTCTTATATAGTTGTTTAGATATTTGAAATGAATGAAGTAAAGGACAATGGTAGAGTCAGATATTACAACCTGTGATGTGGTTGAAAAGGAAACTTTGAAATATGCAGGTCAGATTTTTGCTCAAATACGAACCTGGGAATTTTGTTATCCAGTAGTCTAAAAAACAATGCGAGGTTATTTCATCTGGGAACTATAGGGTGTCACAAACTTGGAGCTTAGACTTTAAGTCTCTTTGCAAAATAAGCACCGGTAGTTCATTATCAAGACCCTCCTTTGGATGGAAATGCATTAGTGGTGTCCACACAGAAAAGCAATGAAGAGTAGTGAGAAGAAAAAGCCTCACATAGCACTGTGTGCACCCACGGTGTTATACTGTCTGCCTCAATTTGTACCTTTTCAGGATCTGACAGTGAATGATAACATTATTGCAGTGGTATTTACAGGCACTGCTGGAGTATGGAATCTGTCATTTCTGCTGTTCTGAATTGCTGTGCGTTGCTGTAAAAAGTGCCCAAGGCTGAAATGTGTTTCAGAGGTTGTCAGGGAGGAAGTGTTGCTTTTTTTTTTTTTTTTTTCCCCTCCACTAATTTTTATGGAGGTTGGCAAATCAATTTGAAGTTGGAGAAGTTCCAAACCTAAATGCATGTTATTGTGGATTCAAATAGATAACATGGTTCCTGGTGGGGCAAAGTTTCTCATGGTGTCTTTCAGCAAATTATTCAACATGCTCATGAATCTCTATGTTTTTCTTTAGCCTAAAGAAAGGAGGATTTGAGGTTACCATTTAATAATCCCCTGGAAGAATATCCTTTGCAGCACTCCCATTTTATAACATAAGAACTATGAAACCTAGCCTTGGATGGATTTTAACTGAATCCTCTCTCTTGCTGTATAGTTTATGATTAAGTCACTAATCTGGCTTCCAGCTTCAATTGTATTTTTCAGGAATGACAGGAGTCCCTTTCAGTGGTCATCACAGATTTCTCTTTCACCAGCTTTTTCTCAGAGGTAATTGCAGCAGTACACAAGCCATTCAGGCTCCAGGAGAGGACAAAATTTATCTTAATGTCCATGAGTGCACAGCTACCTCGGAAGTGAGGGCATTGTTGTGGAATAATAGGAGAAGCTCCTTCTCTTCTCAGAAAGCAGAATGCTTGACAAGATGAGAAAGCAAGAGATTTTGCTGATAAACATATATATATACTTATTTATCTAAACAAACCTAAGCTTCAACTTATGAACCCAAATCTTTTGTAAATCTTTTTTAAATACATTTTAATTAGTTGTAATATCTTGCACCAAAATCATTCTCTCACTGGAAAAGAATTGTATTGATAGAATATAAGAGTAGTGCAACTAATTGATTTTGTTTTATGAGGGGCATTTGAGGTATGTGATGTTCACTCTGAGCTTTGAATTCAATGTCTCGAAGCAAAGCCACGTATTTCCAAATGCTGTGTGGACTTGTGCATAAGAATTCACTGATTTATATGTGGGAGATGTTCATGTTCATCTTGTTCAGATTTCTAGTACAGTTCTTCATAGTGGAGTAATTTTTCAAAAAATACAGTCGCTTCATTTTGAGAGAAAGCATCCACAGTAAGTCACGTAAACAGTGCTAAGTATTGCTATTTTATTGAATATACATTGTTAAATCATTGCTTATGGCAAAGAAGAGAAATCATGTATATTTTTATTTTCAGTTTCGCTGAGTGTCAAACTTTTGCCTTCTTGGAACTTTCTTTAAAGTTTTTAAAACAAAATCATACCTGAAGAGAGCAGGAATACATCTTACAACTGTGAAAGAGACACTTACTCATCTCTGATCTGACTTTTAATTCTGTCTTTTCTGTTACTCCCAACCTAATTAATGCTACTGAAATTCATGTGGAAAATGAATTTGTTCATAGTTTTGGTACTTTAATACATTTCAAACATTTTTCTAGGCTGTGAAATAAAAATGTCATCAAAAGCATGAAACTTAGGGAAGATTCTTTCCCTGTAAGAAGTAGGGAATACTAGCACAAAGAGGAAAGACTTCAAGTATTCTTAGGTTAAATTTCAGCATCAGTAATTCTGAATTTTGAAGTTGGTATCATTACATTTATATACTTATGTTTTTATAAATATTGACTTACTGATGAGTTTAAAACCTTTTCATTTTGAACTACCACAAGCTTTGCTTAGAATATTGTAGGAACTGTTTGTTTTAAAAATTTTATAGACAAGTATTAAAGATCAATTGAAGGCTCCATGGAAACAAATAAATGTGGAACACATGGAGATGGAGCTCAGAAGATTTGCAAATATGATCATTTTCCTAATGAATGCTGTTTTCCTACTTGAAATAATCTCTCCTTCTCTGAGTGCTCTGCATTATGTAAGAGCCTGTAGTTTGCTAAGTTCCCTTCATTAGACTGAGATTTTTGAAAAGAATTCAAAAACTGGGGAGACTGGTATTAGAGGATTGAACTCTCAAGTCTTGAAGTACCTCTGGAAAATATCCTTCTGAATTTGCCTTTTCTTCAGTAACCAGGAAGTTGGCCAGCTGCCTTTCACATGGGGTTCAGAAGTCAGACTGAGATGCATGTGCTAGACTGCCAAAATCCAACCAGGACAGCACTGCAGAACCATGGACACCAGCTACCTGTGCCAAACATGCTTCTGAAGGGGTAAGTCTTCCCTTTCCTTCTCTTCTGTCTGTTGTTTGTACAAAGTAATAAATGTAACTCTGCTGTTATTAATAGAATGCAGTATAACACATTTTTTGTTATTGTTTGGCTTTGGAGAATAATCTGCTTCATAATAATCTGTTTTCTAGTCTCTTTGCGGAGCCTAAAAATGTAGTGATGGACATTTGTTCAAATTCAGATCATCATTAGTAAGCGAATTATAAATTCAATATTGTTACAGTATGTTTATATGACATCTTCACCTTTTCTTTACAGACCAACAGAATAACACAATGTGATAATATCAGTAATTTCAGAAACTGCCTCAATGTTCATTCTACATTTCACAACTGTACTGCTTCCAGCTCCAAACAAATGCTTTAGCTTATGTATGTAGATCAGATGTCTAATACATGTTAGAGGTAATATATATAGGATAAAAAGAAATTAGTCACTGAATTTACTTTAACCTCTTAAGTTCAGCTGGAAAACATTATTTATTCTCTGTAGATGCCACCAGTTGACAGAGGGATGGAATCAATTTCATCTTGATGTCGTTGACAGCAAATGTAATTCTGACACTGCTGAGATTAGCGAAAGGTTGACGTGGACTTCAGTGTGGTGAAGATTTCAATACACAGTAATTTGAAGGAGTTTTTAAGAGTCACTTAAAGACGCACTTCCTCAGATAAAAAGAAGGCCAACAACAACTCACAAAGTCTAAGTCAGTGCTTTGGATCACTGACTTACTGTTCACAACTTCCCAGACCAGGTCCACTGCCAGCTCTTGTCTTAGTATTACTAAAAATTAAATTTAGATAACAAAAATAGTATTGTTTTTATTTTCTCTTTTCTTGCTTATTCCTGTTAAGAACCTTATGGTTGGAGTGCTAAGAACAAGAAACAAACAAAGTTAAAAACACTATGGGAGTGCTTCTTGGGAGAAAAAAAAAAAAAAAAAAGGCTATTCTAAGTGGTTGTATTTTCTTATATTTGCTATGAGTCTGTTGTCATCCAGAGGATTCCCATGCAGATTGGAAGAATAGCTGGTGGTTAAATGGCTATAGAGAGCAAGTCTTGTAACAAATAACAAAATGGTGCAAAGTAGATATCAGCACTAGACAGGTGGTAAAAATATTTGCTCACTTACTCATTTCATTTGTCTTGCCTTGTCTCTGTTGGAGTCCCCTTGTGTTTGCACTCTGTAAATATTCATCTATATTAATTTCTGGAGAGGGATGCATGCTGAAAGAATGCCAAACAAACATTTAGAATATTACAGACAGTCACTCTGTATCTATCTTTTTGTTTTCCTCTGCCAATTCAGTAAGTTAAATTCATAATAATAATTCATATGGCATGGTGAACTGATTGGGCCAAAACGAAAATTGTTTTTCATAGTAGAATAAAAATCTCGTTTTGGGTTCTTTCACCTGGATCAGATCACTGAGTATACAAATTTTTTCAGAGATGAGTATTGATTCAAATGTTAAAATTAGGACCTTTCCAAGAGGCTGCTTAAAAAACAAAAAGGGGGACTAGCTGAGATGCAAAAAATTTCATTCTTTAAGTATTAATCACTGTTCAGAAAAACCGTATCCAATCATTCTACCCCGTGGAGATCTCATACGTGATTAATTCAGATTAGAGATAGGAAAAGAAAAATTAATTTAAAAAAACTCACGTTTTTGCCCTTCTGAAGAGTGCTGCATTCTTTCGGAAATCCAAGTCTCTGCTTCTCTTAAGTGCCTGCTAACTTCCTTTCTTTCTCACCAGTGCACTCAAGTATCCCATCTACAGGCTGAGTTTAAGAGATTCCGACAGGAAAGCAATGAAAGTCTCACCTCATCTTCCTCCTGAACTCCTGCCTCAGCAGTCTCCGTCACTCGGTCACACCAAGCTCTTGTACTTTCCTCTGAAACCAAGTAGCAAAACAAGGAGGAAGGAGGTATTTTATATTTTTCCACTGAGGTTTTTATTTTTTACAGTAAAAGACTAATTTAATATTTTCAGTAAAATCCATGTTGCCTGAGAAAATAATAAAAATAGTCTTATCCATAGAAAAGTGGCAGTCAGCTGTAGTGTCATCTTTCCCATGCTGCTCAACTGGTGATTTTGACCTTGGTGTGAATGGTTCATTCACTCGAGTGATGAGAGTTAATTTAGTCTTCATAATAGCCCGGAGCTCAACCTTTTCAGAGCTGCGATTGTTTCAGTGATGCCAAATTATATGCAGTCACTGAGTAATATGAACAGTGATCCACTGCTGTGTGTTTGGATGTAGCCCACTGAAATCATTCTTTTCATCTGGTGAGGATTGCAAGCCACGAATCCAGTGACGTACCCTATGAAGGGCTTAAGTCATATTGCATGTGTAAAGAATATACTGATGGAAAGTAAAGCTGTGTTTACTTTCTAGCTCTTTTCTCCTACATGGGATTGAGTTCCAGTCTAAGCAGAACTCCAATAAAATTCTGTGTCTGATTCACAAACTTTTGTATGACTATTAAACATACTGGTTATTATTAGAGCTTACGAAGAGAGGCATGTTCCAAAAAAAAAAGTCTACCAGAACCCAGCAATTTTCATCCTGTTGTCAGTGAATTCTTATGAGGTTCACAAGGCACTCTGCAAAGGTAATGAAGAAAGGTACTGTTTGTCTGACTGTAGTCTGACTTGCAGAGCAGGGGTCTGTACCTCAATTAGAAGCTTTATGGTCTGTAAAATGCTGAAATTCCTCATCTTAATAACAGGACAAATATCTGAAGCAGGAATTTTTAGTCAAAAGACACTGGGTGTAAAGAGCAGAACACGAAGGTTTTTATTCATAATTAAATCTGTGTTGTAAGCAGGCAGGTTGCTGCGTATTGTGCAGGATGGAGGCAATTCATTGTGTACCTGAAGCTCAGAGACTGCAGGTAGCACCTGCGCTGCTCTTAGATCCAGAGCACTGGACTGCAGTTATCCACACCGGTTCAGTGATCCTGGCATCTCTCTCTCTGCCAGGAAGAAGGTCTGGCAAGACTTTCAAAAGTGGCAGGAACATCTGTGAAGTAAGTAACATTTTTGTGATTTTTGTATAAATCATATCTCCAGACTATTAGAGAAAATATTATTTCTGCTACGTAGAATGCTGGCTAGCATGTTAACCTGTGCACAGCTTTCCAGCAACTTTCAGCAGAAGCTGTGGCAACATGGGAGGATAAACCACAAAACCAGTGGTTATTTGAATGTCCAGCCCAAGAGCTTTAATAGATACTGAGATACGGTGGGAAATGCTTTGAAAGTCTGGAGGAATGTCTGAAACCACAGGGAGGTATGTGAACCCCCTATAGATAACACATGGGCTTAATTTTAAAGTGATTTTAAGAGAATTTGTAAGTCTTGGGGTTAAGAAAGATGTGGGTTTAAAATCCTGCTCCTTCCATCAATGAAGACCCTCATCCGTTAGCTTCAATGGGATTCTTTTTGAGTCTGCTTTGCAAAATTGGGACCTTAGTACATATGGGAGGCCCTGCCAGAAAGATGCATTTTGCAACCATTTCAAAAAAAAACCACAGATTTTTGTTTATTACTGTTTAGGAGGAAGTAGACTTTTGAAGTACCGTTTAGGACAAAAAGAAATCTTACCATTAAGTCCAAGAGAGTCACTTCTTAAAATAAAGTCTCTGATGCCTTTGAATAAAACTAATTGCTGGTGACTGACTTCTAGGGCCATGGAAGCAGGTGCTCTGGAACACCTTCTTAGTGTCACTATTCCCGTCAAGGATGGGAATTACACAACAGTCTGATGGAAGACACTGTTCAGAGATCAATTGGAAGGCCAGATTAACCTGCTTTCTCTGCTCTGTGACACAGAGCAGACATTATATCCATTAGAACCCAGCTGCAAGTTGGGTGAGGTGTGTGGTGTGGCTTTCTTTTTTTCTTTTTTTTGTTCTCCTGAATTTGCTGCAATAAACATTCCTTGCACCATGACTGCTTTGCAAATGGTATTTGTACCATATTATATGTACACCACATTTTAAACATGTGGTAACTTTATTGCACTTGTGAGGATGTAGCACAAGTGTAGCTTCCGACTACTATTTATCTGTTCTGGAATGAATTTCTGGGTGCCAGCTGAGAAGGGTATTCTTCTTATTAAAGGATCAAGTTAAAATTGTAGGAAAACAAAACCATTATTAGTTTTCAAAAGTTATTTGCTTTGATTAAAAGCACCAATAAATGTGTCTTGGTTCTATAACTGCTCCATTTAGCACTTGACATATAATAGTTTTTTTTCCTCACAGTGTAATATCTCCATTGAAATATAATTATTTTGCAGATTGCTCAACTGAATGCCCTTAAAAATAAGCTGTTAGGGGGAACTCGCCCCTGGTGATCATCAGAACATCATGGCAATATGCACAATTGATGTGCATGTGAGGGATGTTGTAGCATGCTTATAGCACAGAAGGTAATTTGTTGCAAAGCAATTACACTAATGCATTTTTAAAAGCATAAAATAAAGAATAATTTAATTTGTTGAAAAGATATTCTGGTAGCTTATTTATGGCAATGACAGAATATTTTGATTCAATCCATTTTAGTCCTTTTATATTTTTTGCTTTAGAGTTGGATAATTACGTTTACCAGCTAAAGAATTACCATTTAAAAACACATAGATATTTTGTCCAAATGTTTAAAGACATCTTTTAAAGTATGCAGTAATGTGACAGCAGGTTTCTCATAAATGTGCCTCCAATTACTGATCTGTTCACAATTAATATAACATATTTATTAGAGGTAGCTTGGAAGTTTAGTATATGCAAAGTATAAAAGGGCAATTGTGTTACGTTTCTAGACAGCATTTTTTTTTTAATATGTGGGTTTTATTTGCCTATCAATTTCTGCAGAGGAGGTTTTACAGCTAACTCTTTCCGTGCCCGACTTCAGCACTGCCGCAAGTCACTTCTAGCCATTTGCCACCTCACCTGCCGAGCGGGACTGCTCCGACTGGAAGGGGAGGCAGGAGCCACGAGGCAGCACCGGCTTCCTTGGGCATCCTTAGACGGGTGAGAGAGAAGTGGCCTCTGTGGCAGTCTCCCTGCCTGCGAGCAGTGGCATGCAAGGGATGGCTGCTCCGGAGGAAGCACAGCCTTGAATAGGCAGCTTCATTTCAGAATTAGAAACCAGAAAGCTCTAGGTGTCAACACGAGAAACAGTAAGGGAAAAGGGGAGGACTCTGTGGGCATGAATCGTGTGCATGTGCCTATCTATTCATCTGTCCTTTCTAGCCTGTCGTTCTTCTATGTATTGCAATTTAAAGGCATGTTTGCTCTTGATGAAATCCATCCTTTGGCAACATGTTGTTGCCAAGACCCAGGACTGTAGAACTTCCAAGCCCCCTCCCATCCCCAGGATGTTCAGGAGTTCACAAATCTGTTGGTAGCTTTGAGAACAAGAAGTGATGCTTATTAACAACTTTCTTTGATAATATTTTGCTCTATTATAAATAATAGATAATGTTGCTGTAGGCCAGACTCACAGTACTGAGGTTTCCTATAAGCCTAGTCTTTACAGAAATGACCTAAATAAAGAATGCAGGGGATAGCCCACAATAATCTCATGAAAGTTAAAATAGTTTTAATTAAAAGAATGAAGTAGAAAAAAAGACACTGAATTATCTTAGTGGCCATGCAAGCTCCTTGTCGAGGACAATGGTCTTCCAGCCTAGTTAACCGGTATTCTGCAAAACTGTTTAAA